CAGATCTCTGACTTCAAGACCAACCTGGTCTACAGAGCGAGTACAGAATAGTCAGAATTACACAGAGAAACTATCTTGAAAGGCAAAACCAAACCAAAAAAAAAAAAAAAAAAAAAACCAGTATGTCTACTAATGTTTTCATCCTCTGTCTTGGGATGTAAAATCATGATTGAGGAGGAGGAGTTTGAAGGAGTAGAAGGTTTGAAAGCCAGGATTAGGAAGAAACAAAGCAGGTCCTGTAGAGATGAGACTGAGACAATGGGAAGGCCCAAGCTTTGGTTGTGGATGAATGCAGCTCTCCCTGGAGAGAGGCCTGGGAGCATTTGCTGGGAGGGAGTGTTTACAAATGACTGTGGGGACATGTGGAGAGGTGAGCCTTGTTTGCAGAGATGGAGGAGAAGGGTTCAGGGCCAAGAATAGTGGTTTGTAAAGTTTGCAGTCGGGGCACTGAGAAGACCAAAGGGTTAATGGAGAACAAGGGTTGCTAGGCAACATTTGCCTTCTGAAAGGGGACTAGGGGAGAGGGGCAAGTGTTTGTTTCTGAGGCTCTAGTTAGTACACTCTTCCTCATGTTCTGATGTCATCAGGAGAAAGAGAGGGAGAAATTCGTGTGTCCATTGTTCTCCCTTATAAAGCACAGGCCCTGTGTTTAAAATAGACTTTTCAACTTTTCCCTTCAGTCCTCTCAAAGTATCCTCCCAGACCCTATCAACTGTCAATGGTTGCCACAGAAATAAGCCATAAAACTCCTATGAGGAAGGGCCCTGCTTCTGAGGGGCTTCTTAACTGGCCCCGAATTCAATTACAATCATCAGTACATGCTTTCATCCTAACAGTACCATATCGTAAACAGCAGTGCTGACAGTTAAGCCTGCCTCTGGACCACCAGCGCGCTGGAGAGCCTTCATACCAGGCACCAACCACAGTCCGCCACAAAACACAGGGCCAGTCCCCGCCCCACCCCCAGCTCCAGAGCTCTGGCAGGACAAGGGATGAACTCAAGCCATTATATTGTGGACATTTTGGCCTACACTTTGTGGACTTTTAAAAGTTGGCTCTCCTAAAGTTGCTTCTGCCCACCAATATGGCATGGCATGTTCTCCACTGCCCGGTCGTTACCTTTGCATCGTTTCTAGGACCGGTTCCTGCTGTTTCGGGTGATCCTCAGAGGTGGCTGTGTATTGTAGGAACCCTCCAAAGTCACTTAATTGGCTAGAACCAATGGGATGCTTGCACCTGTCACCTTAAGTCCTCTTCTGTCTCACAGCACAGCAAGCCCTTTGTTTTAAAAAGCCTGGCTTTCTGGGTGTGCCCTTCTTTAGCTGGAAATATGACAATGCACACTCCCCTGGTGATGGCTACCTCGTAACTTCACTATTGGAGAGTTACGGTTTGAATGAGATGAGCTTCATTGTCATCTGGTGTGAGAGGAACCAGATAATTGTTTTAAAAGACAATTTAAACCATACCGCAGAGAAACGACTCTGAAGAAACATTAACAACGTTCCTTTAGACAACTGGTTGAAGTAATTTTCTCCTCCAGGGGAAAAAGTGCTGTGGTTTTTCTGTAACATCTTTCAAAAGGCTGCTACGTCCTAACTTTCTGGTATTTTCTGATTGACGGTAAGATGAATGTGTGTTTTAGGTGGTAAGATAGCCCAAGTACTGGAAGGATTAAACTTATGGATCAGAAAGTAAATGCAAGCGTTTCAGCATACATTAGCTTCTTTCCTGTTTAGACTTCCCCAAGCTGTCCTTTCTTTCAGATGGGCACCAGATGCATTCCTTCTGGCTCACAGACCTTCTGTGGCTATGGATAGAGGAGAGTGTGTAACCATCACATCCTTTGGGTCTGTTTTGCTTTCTCAATAACACAGTGCAGGGATCTCACAGTTTCACCAAGACCTCATCTTTGTTCACGTAAAATTTCAGGAAACCCCTAAGGAAGGACAGGTGCATTTGGTTTGTTTTTTAAGGGGATACAGTCCGTCACCGCGAAGAGAAAAGTATGGCTATATGAATGAGAAACTGTTGATCACATTGATCTACAGTTAGGGAGCAGTGAACCAGAAGTGGTGTCCCCCAAAACCCTTCCCACAGTGAGCTACTTCCTCTACCACCTAAAGTTTCTACAACCATCACGAACAGAGCCACTTCTGGTAACCAAGTATTCAAACACAAGAATCTGATCAAGTTAAAAACAAGATGGTCCGGGTGGTAGTGACACATGCCTTTAATCCCATTGGGAGGCAGAGGCAGGAGGATCTCTGTGAATTCTAAGCCAGTTTGGTGTACAAATCATGTTCCAGAACAGCCAGGGCTGTTACACAGGGAAACCCTGTCTTCCAAAACAAAACAAAACCAAACAAACAGGGGCTGGAGAGATGGCTCAGAGGTTAAGAGCATTGCCTGCTCTTCCAAAGGTCCTGAGTTCAATTCCCAGCAACCACATGGTGGCTCACAACCATCTGGAATGGGGTCTGGTGCCCTCCTCTGGCCCGCAGGCATACACACTGACAGAATATTGTATACATAGTAAATAAACAAACAAACAAATAAATAAATATTAAAAAACAAACAAACAAAAAAGCAAAGTTGGTAGTATATTCCAATATCTTATGCCAGATTATTGTCAAAAAAATCAAAATGCATACAATGTGAATTGGTATGAAATCACTAGTAATATTACCACCCCAGGTAAAATCAGTAGTAACTTTTGGTGTGAGTATTTTCAGTCCATTGCTTCTAGTGTGGGAGGAGGGTATGCACTGGGGGCAAAAGATGCTGATTTATGGGGTGCAACAGTGGAACAGCAAGGCATATGCGATTTGGAATATGGCTGAAGAGCAGCGCTGATTGGGTTTGCCGACAGATGCGATGAGGAGAGAAGTAGACATGACAGAGACCACGGTGACACCAATTTCTGCCCTGAGCACTGTAAGAAAACTGTCAGCTGTGTTGAGGAGATCCCCGTGTTTATAATCAATGTTTGTGGATGGAGTTAGGAAAATTAACTATACTCACTGAATGATTTGAGGCATATTATACGAATATACTTTGTAGTATAAAATATACTCTGAATTTAATGTTCACAACATTAAATGATTACAGGTGTTAAAATGATTGCACATTTTGATACCTGTGCTTAACTGTAGCTGTTCCACACATCACTGGGCATTTAGGGTGCTTTTTCCTATGCAATAAATTACACTGAAAGTCCTCAGGACCCATCTCTTTTCTTACTTCCTCAGTCCTGAGATATTTCAGTTAGGAGAACTGGCCGAGGCTTACTAAGATTTCTAAATGAAAGACCTACCATGGGTAAAAGGAATTCTGGAAAAGACCAAGGCTAGGGGCTGTCTTATTGTCACACCCCCGAAGGACCCTGGCAAAAAATGTCTCAAGCCAGACTAACGTTGCCTTCAAGGTTGGAATTTTCTTGAGGGAGATGGACACTGGACACAGGCAATGAAGGAGCCAGACAGCAGGGCCATCGGGAACCAAATTTTAGGTATAACTTCAATGCTTTATGAGATTTTTTTAAAAGCTATTCTTTAAAAGCACACCATTTAGGACTGAAGAGATGGCTTAGCAGTTAAGAGCATTGGCTGGCTGCTCTTTCAGAGGTCCAGAGTTCAATACCCAGCAGTCACATGGGTGAGATCGCACAGTTGTAGGTAAAACACTGTTTACATAATAAATAAATAAATCTAAAAATATACAACATTTTAACATATAGCCACATAAAGCTTTGAGGATAGTGAATCCAAGCTAGAATTTCTTGGGGCAGGGCATGGGACTGTAGCTCTGTATAGGCAAATCCAGGGATCATCCGGAAGAATGTAGGGAAATTCTCCTGACCTCAGCCTGTGGGTAAGAAGCAGTTAGTTCCATGCTGGGTTGCTTGAGTTTGCTTGGGGAATCTGAGGCTAAACAAAGAGAATGAAGTCTTCCCCCTATGGTCTGAGGATGGATGCGACTGAAAAATAAAAGTTTTGAGTTTTTTGCCTGTAGAACAATGGGAGTTAGCAGGTGACTATAAGATAAAATTCCAGACATTCTTTACATCGAACATTAACATCCAAGGTCTCTAAAGGCTGGAGGAAAGTCTTAGCCCTGCATGTACTTATTGAAATTGTGTTTTCATTTTTAGTATCTAAAAATAGTTCCTATCACTCAGAATTATAAACCTTTTCAATTTCAGTGCTAGTTTTAATTCAAGAATCTCTTCATAGATTAAAACTTTATGTCAATGTTTGAATCTAAGACTCAAAACATATACTTCCTTTTGAAAAAAATATTATTCATGGAAGATAGAATCCTACTTTGACTCTTGAGTGATGGGTGGGTTTGATAGATGGACCAGAGGCTCAGAGTGTTTCTGTTAGAGAAGAGGGCTCACTACCTAAGATAAGCACAACACATTCGGGGTACCAAGGAATTCAAAGCATAGAATAATGTAGGGTTTTGGCCATGAGACAACCAACTTGAGGACACCCTTTGGTCTTGTATGTCTTGCCTCTTTCTGTCGGGCACAGGAACTTCCAGCTTTCTGCTTAAGAAGTGAACTTCCACCTTGTCCCTCCAATGAACCACTCTTCAGCCCTCTCCTGCAGGATCACTGCGTAACACAAACTTTCCTCTTCTGTCAAGATATGGATTTTGTTTCTTCGGAACTGAGCTGGTAATGAGTTTAGCAGACACGTCTAAAGGAAGAGCCGTTGAGTGTTTCTTTTAGGGATACACAAGATATTCAGGAAGCAGATGATTTTCCTATGACTAGCGCACCAAGGGGAAAATGGCCGTCTTTACATAGCAGCCTAATCCTGCACTGTCATCTCTCTAGAGATTTATTTCCCTCAAATTCTGTTGTTGTCTTCTTGAGTTATTTTTTTTTGTACCAAAAATATACATCCCTGATCCGTGGTGCTTATTTTTCAGCTTCTAGTACAGTTTCATATTTTTTTTAATCTAAAACATTTTCCTTTTTCCTTTTACAGGGTCCAGCAATATCATGGCAGGAGATAACCACATACAGAAGCAGCTGGAATTACAAAATGGTAGCTTAGAGGAAGGATTTGTGGTACAATCCCCGGAGATTGAGCCGCAGAACATGATGGAGAGCCTAAGCCCGAGGAAATATTCATCCAGTCTGAAGTTTAAAGCCAATGGGGACTATTCCGGCTCATATTTAACCCTCTCCCAACCTGTGTCCACCAAGAGAAGCCCTTCTCCTTTGGGCACCAGTGTTAGGAGCAGCCCCTCCTTGGTCAAACTCCAGGGAAGCAAACAGTTTTGTGATGGAACTGATAAAAACGTTTCCATGAAGCCTCCTACTTCGTTCCTCAGCTCCGCAACCTCTCTTGGGGGTTATCCACTCGGGAGAGCAGATTTGGATCATTATACTGGCCGGGACAGTGAAAGGTCCTCCAGGTTCTCAGAGAAGCCCCCCTATTCCAGATACAGCTCTAGGAATAAATCACATGACAATGTCTACTTTCTCGGGGGGCTGGAAGGAAGAAAAGCCTCTGGCTCGCTCTTGACCATGTGGAATGGAGGTTCCTTGAGCAGCGCTGGCTCGGCACCGGTCAGCAGATCTGGGGCAGCGAGCATGCCCTCAAGCCCAAAGCAAGCTAGGAAAATGAACTTACAGGACAACTTGCCACTTCAACCCCGCTTAAGCCGGCACAAGGAGCCAGCCTCTGAAAATATCAGTGTGAGAACAAGGAAGTATTCAGGGAGCAGCCTCAGTAACATGGGTGCCTATAGCCGATCGCTTCCCAGGTTGTATAAAGCCACAGATAGCCAGATGCCGCCTCTCAGCCTGCCTCCAAGAAACTCCCTGGGCAATTCCAAACGAGGTCAGTTAGGGGAAAAGGATCTACCTCATAGCATAGTGGATAATGACAATTACCTTAACTTTTCTTCTCTAAGTTCAGGGGCTTCACCCTATAAAACCTCGCTGTCAGAGGGAAATCCTTACGTAAGCTCCACCCTCAGTGTCCCTGCCAGCCCTCGAGTGGCTCGGAAGATGCTCCTGGCCTCGACCTCTTCAGAGGACTTTGATAGGGCTTCTTACTCAGGGACCAGCCCGAGTCATTCCTTCATCTCTGGAGAACCAGACCGAGTGCCTGTGGCCAGGAGGAACTTCTCTTGTGGATCTATCGAGTTGGATGATTCTGATCTGGAAAGCCTACGACAGTCCTCAGAAACTCCCCAGCCTGTCCTTCGAGAACGGAAAAGCAGCATCAGCTCCATTTCAGGCCGCGACGATCTGATGGATTATCACCGCCGACAGAGGGAAGAGAGACTCAGGGAGCAGGAGATGGAGCGCCTGGTAATCTTCCTTTTCTGACCTCACTCTCCCCTTGACTTACATCCACAGTGTTGGAGACAGAATCTCAGGGTACATGTAGGGGTGTGGAATTTCCATGTGGACCAGGCAGTCACTGCTGTCCATGCTGCCTCTTGTTCTTTGTCTGACGTAACTCTTTTTTGGCTACTGTTGTGGGGCATCTGTGGACATTTTAAAATTTCCAAAGCCCACCAGAGCCTTCTGTTTATTTCGTTCTGCAGAGTTCTTCTGTTCCTTTGCCTTTTCTCTTCTCTCCCTTATCATCATCCCTCCCCCTTTTTTTTTCATGTGCTAGGGATGGAACCCAAGGACTTGCACAACCGCTAGACATTCTGGGAAAAAGCGAATGTCTAGTTGCGAATTTTGCTGAATGTCTTCTATCTTGTGAATTTTTCTGAGACTATGAGGAAGTGACAGTGGTACTTATGGCATGAAACTCTCCGGTATGTACTTAGGACGGAAGTAGTCAGTGAGATAATAACCTAAGACTTTGTAGAGCAAGTCATCTGGAAAGGTGAAGGGTGTCCCAGCGCAGTAAAGCCCAGGTTCTTCTCCCCACGCTGTGCACGTAACGCCAGACTCTCTTCAGCTATGCTGCGTCTTCACACAGCCCCTCCTCCAAACACAAAATGCACTGAGTTCACTCCCTTTTTCAAGTTAAAATGAGCTTATACTTAAAAGGGAAAAATACGTTGAGAGTAAAAGGACGAGGATGAAAGGAAAGATTTCCCCAATAGCCGCATTGATGAACAGGAACATTAAGGGTTATTTTTCTGGTCTCTTTTAGTGGGTTTTTATTTTAGAATGAGTTCCTGTCAGGGACTGTTTTGCTTCGCTAGTGATTAATGACTTCCTTAATGAGAGAAGCTATGGCATGGTTTACAAAAGTGTAAGATCATCAGAGGTCTTTTAATTGCTCAAAAAAGTATGTTGGAATAAGGTTTCTCAAGCACGTGGAAAAATTGATTTGTGCCTACAGTTATAGGGACAGAAACCATCTACACTATGCAACATTTGTTTGCTATTTCAGAACAAGAATCACATGTCACCCAAAGTTTTGGTAAGTTTATGCTCTTCCTAGCTAAGACTAGTAGGTAAAAACACATATGCATACCTCTGGATAATTAAATGCTCGTTGTGGATATCAGTTAAGCAGCACTCCAGTAGGACATTCTCTTTGCTGTCATAAATCATCACTAGAGATAACCCATGATCACAAAAAAGCTTTGTGTCTAGGCTTGATCCTTGGATATAATTCAGAAACCCATTCAGTTAGCATTTGGGTTCTTGTACATGCATCTGTACTGTGCTAAGCAACTTAGTAATTGGTAATTTACTCTGGAATTTAGAAGAGCCTTTCCTGTGAAATTTTTCACTCTGGAGGTCTTCCTTTAGTCTACATAATGACTCTTATGAGGATGGAAAACCAACCAGGAGCTTGATATGCCTCGAGTTTCATCTTCAATATATGTAAATGCTGGTGACTTTCTCTGTTCTCCAGATTCCCCACATCTAAGGCTCCTCACAGTCCCAGTAGTGACTTTACTTGTTGCTCGAAAGGCTGGAACTTGATAAATTATGAACAAGATCAACTTCTTGGGTGGTCTTGATGATATTGTTAGGAATACTACTTGTAATCCCTTTTCCTTATTAATGGCTTGTTATAGTATACAAAAATGAGACTTATCTATCACAAAGGACCACACTGAATGCTCTTTCTATTGCTTTTGCATAATATCTGAAGTAACTTATAAAGAGGCAATATCAGCCCAAGCGGTGGTGGCGATGCCTTTAATCCCAGCACTTGGGAGGCAGAGGCATGCAGATCTCTGTGAGTTCGAGTCCAGCCTGGTCTACAGAGCAAGTTCCAGGACAGGATCTGAAGCTAGTTTTGAAAAATAAATAAATAAATAAATAAATAAATCAAAGTCATTTTGACTTCCAGTTTTGGATTCAGTTGCCCCATTACTTTTGGGCAATGCATCATGGCAGGGAACGTAGTGGAGCAAAGCTGCCCATCTTCTGGAATGGATGTGATGAAAAGAGGGAGGCACCAGGTGTCCCCCAATCCTCTCCCAATGACACACCCCAACAACTAGAAGTTCTTTCACAAGGTTCTAGCTCTGAATTTCCACCAATCATAATAGCTTTAAACACTGGGACTTTGGGGGTGCTTAGGACTGATTCTTTTGTATGCTAAAGAAAAAAAAAATTAGCTCATACAGAAATGGTAGAGTTTTGTCTTTTAAAATACATAAAGATATGTCTCCATTAGCATTAAGCCTGAAAATTACCTTTTATGATACTAAATCCTTGCTTCAAAGGCATTTACATAGAACACATTTTTATTGCTTTTTATAAGCATGAACTAAACTTCGTCAAAATCGGTCTCATTCCAGGGCAAACAGCTGAATTTGAGTTTTCTATCAACAGTGTACTTATCATTCTTTATGTTGGAAAAAAAAACCTTTATGAGAAAACCATAAAAATATTTCAACTTTGGGCTAGAGAGATAGTTCAGTGAGTAACGGCCCCTCTTCTGTAAACATGAGAAAGTAAGTTCAAATCTCCAGCACCCATGTAAAAAGCTAGGCTTATCTTTGCCTGCTGTAGCTCCAGCCCTGGGAGACAGATACAGGTACTGAGATCTCACTGGCCTCCCAACTGAAATGGTTAATTTCTCATTCAGTGAGATGCTGTCTCATCAATGAGGCAGGAAGTCACTGAAGAAGACACTCAACACCCTTCCCTGACTTCCATATACTTGCTTGCATGCAATCACTTATACCACACACACATACTCAGCGTGCACATACATATACACACATGTACACATTGCACACACATACATTACACATACACCACACTCAAAATAGTATACTTTCTGCTGAACATTAACATTCTATTACTTTTCCTTTAAAATTATTGTATGTATGTTATGTGTGTGCGTACATATGTGCTGTAAAGTGTGTGTTTGTGTATGTGTGTGTAGATCAGAGGACAACTTTGTGGAGTTGCTTCTTTCCTTGCATTTTTATTAGGACTTCAGGGATCTGATTTGAGATTCCCAGTTTTGGAAGAAGTGCTTATACCTGCTGATCCTTCTTGCTGCCTCTGTATTGTTTTTTCATAGACAGAATTTTCCGGTATTAAAAAACAGTGGAACCATGATTTGGGCTTCAAACATATAATTTTCAGTTTCAGTTTTAACTTCTGACCTTTATTACCTCCTTTCAAATTCTGGAACAACCAGGCCAGGTCATAGAAGCAAAACTATTTTAATTGAAATACACTAGAGATTGTAGTATATAGGATTAGCTATGAAGTTTTGTGTAACATAGGCCGGCCTTGAACTCCACATGTAGTCAAAGCTTCTACCTCACAAGTGCTAGGATTAGAGGCACACATGACCAGGCCTGGCCTTGACTGTCCAGCTCACTTTCTCAGAGAAGAACAGTGCTGGTGAGTGAGCAGTTTGTGTGGGAAAGGGCTTTGCTTAAGATGGAAGAAAAAAATAGCACACTTTGTTTTCTTGGAAACTGAAAATGTTTGATTTATTTATATGCTCTTTAGTAGCTATAAACCAATTGGAGCACCAGGCTCCTGGAGTCTTTTTTATTGTTGTCCTTGAGAGAAAGGAAAAGTGTTTCCCCTGCACATAGCAAGTTCTTCTTTCTCAAAGGACTTAACACGAATTCTGCTTCTTCAGCTACAAGCCCCGAGTACACAGCGACACACAAAATGTCTCTCCTTTAAGGCCCAGTGTTCTTTTATTTGACACAAAAATATATTCCTGGTTAGATACAGACAAATTATAAATTACAACTACAAAGAAATACTCTGCCATCTCTCACCTGTCCAGGCTGGGTTTCAGTCGTAAGTGACAGTCAGTCAATGACCAGAGCAAAAACCAGAAGCGGGAATACTGCTAACCACCGATGGGGACAGCCATTGGCTGTGGGAAGATCCAGCCTGTTACCTATCAAATTTATTTAAAAAGCCCAAGGAAAAAAGTCAATAGTGGAGAACCAGGAAAATGAAAATTTCACAATCAGTAAAGGCAACATTTTACTGACTTTTTAAATTTATTCCAGAAGCCAAGAAAAGACAGGCCTGGTCTGCCAGCTGATGCCATGGGCTCGCTCTACGGGTATGGAGGGTCAGGTAACTCCCAGAGCGAATCCACTGGAAGGCTGCAGTCTCAGAGAGCAAACACCCTCTGATCTGAACGCAGAGTGGGTAAACGCTGACGAGTTAGTTAGCCCACTACTGTGGAAACCGTGCATCAGAAAGTGGGGTCACAAGTACACTACTAATATTCTCAACTTGGTTGTGGTTTTTTTCCCTAACTTGTTCAATTTTGGTTGAAAACCCAAGATAAGTAAAGTTATCATTAAAGGTAAAACCGTAATTATGAACCTCTAAGGGCTTATTAGTGAAATGTAATCACTCTAAGTCTGTATTAAATAGCCTCCAAACTGTCGTGTTATTTGAGAAGTTTTGATTTTAATATTTTTCTATCTTTTTTGTTCTTAGCCCCCTATTCATTTCTAATCATCTTTCCTGCCCTTGCCTACATATTCCCTTCTGCATCGTGTGTGTGTGTGTGTGTGTGTGTGTGTGTGTGTGTGTGTGTGTTTTAGAAACCAGGCTTAGGGTTTTGATTAAACTGTTTTGCTCTGTGTGCGTGTGAGGTCTTAGGATGGTGCTCTTCTCACCAAGTGTTCACATGTGAAGCTGTGGAGCTTGAGACAGCCATTTCAGCTGCTCAGTAGGCATTTCAAGCCTCTCCTGCTGAGCTGTGGTCCAAGGAGAGTTGGGATGCTAACTAACCAGTAAGATGTTCCCCAGGCTAGCGAAACCACTATTAAGTGATCAGATTTCATCCGTTTGATATCTGCGTGTTCCTAGTCATCCAGATGTAGCCATGGCCCCTGATGGCCCAGGTATTTTAAATAAGAGAAAATTAAAAGCTTACCCTT